GGTTTCAATTTTAATATTTTCTGTGGAAAACGATTTCCCCCGCAACATGGCCCAAATCCAAGACGGCCGCCATAGAAACCAGTTTTTTCATAAAATTCGACAAATTCCGACATGATTCTTCTAATTAGTCTACAATTAGTCTATATATCACCTTTTAAAATTGAAAGAAAGTCAAACCCCTAGAAAATCCCTCGGGTAAGATTGAAGAATACCGGACCAGCGGACTGACTTTGCCTATGTCTCAACCTTAGGAATTCATGATTTCCCCAGTTTTTAACATCTCTCAATGGAGAATCTCGGACCGGTAAATCTATTCATTAAAATTTTGTCAGGGGGGAAGACCCACCTGAAACCCCCCCACCCCCTCATCCACCCGACCCACCCACCCCACATTCTCGCGCAATATTGTATAGATATCTACGAGTGGTCCGGTATTCTTCAATCTTCCCATTCCTCGTATCGTGTACATAACCCCTTAAAAAGATATTAAGATATAGCACTAGCTGGGTTTCCCGTTCGATGAACGAACTCAAAAGAATCGGTCGTCAAGTCCTTGTGGGATTAATACGCACTCCTTGTGAACGGAAGCCTCGCCTGTTTACAATGGCGTCTTGTCTTAGAAGACGGACTTTCCCAAGATTAGAGATCTAAACGAAACTAATGAAAAACTGAAAAATTAAACTACCTTGACTTCTGACTCCTTAATATAACTGTGCACCCTTTAAATGATTCTAAACCACAGTTATTTTATGGGCAACAAACGAAAGGATCACAGTCGAATTTAGCACCATGTAAAAAAACAAAAAACTTAAGGCTGGATCTGTACGGGTCGCACACTTAAACTTTAAGTTAAAGTAGTGCCAAAGATAATACAGTAGTGCTCAGTATTGCGCGACAGTGCTTGATGGTGTCGAACGGAAGTACGGCTTGAAATAAACAAACCTGGCGGATTTTCTAAAATTACAGAAACAGAAGCGTCGGCCTACGAAAGCGACCGGCGGAATAAAGAAATTTAGCTTTTTGCAGTAAAACTGTCTCAAAACTGAAAACAA